GGATTTTAAATACCATTCAAATGCTTTCTTCTCATCTTTTATAACCCCTATACCTCTTTCAAATAATGTCCCAACATAAAGTTGTCCATCAGAATTTCCTCCTTCTGCGGATCTTAAAGACCATTCAAATGCCTTTTTTGCATTTTTTTTTATTCCAATTCCTTCTGCATAACAATATCCAACTTTAAATTGACCATAAGAATTTCCACCTTCAGCAGATTTCAGATACCATTCAAACGCCTTTTTTTTGTCTTTGGTGACGCCAATACCGTTGCTATAAAAATTTCCAACATTAAATTGCCCGTTAAGATTTCCATTTTCAGCAGATTTTAAGTACCATTCAAATGCTTTTTTTTCGTCTTTAGCAACGCCTACGCCTTTAAAAAAAAAACTGCCCACATTAAATTGTCCGTAAATATTACCACCTTCGGCGGATTTTAGGTACCATTCAAAAGCCTTTTTATCATCTTTAGAAATACCCGCACCAGTTCGATAACATAAGCCAGTATTGTATTGCCCACGATGACAATTATTTTTAGCAGATTTTAAGTACCATTCGAATGCTTTTTTGTCATCTTTGGTAATTCCTAAACCAAAAAAATAACAAACTCCTACAAATAGTTGCCCATAAGGATTTCCGCTTTCGGCAGATTTCAAAAACTGTTCAAATGCATTTTTTTGTTCATTGGAATTATGATTTGTGGCAGAACTTATATACTGTTCGAATGCTTTTCTTTGTTCTTCAAAGTTACCAGAATTAATGGATTTTAAACACTGTTCAAATTCTTTATCAATTCCAATAAATTCATCGATATTCGTCTCGAAATTAACAAACTTTGGTTCCATTCTTTTTTTGACAAAATAAAATCTTCTTATGGTTTTTAGAGAAAAATATGTGCAATGTAATATAACTAAACTGTATGAAAACCACATAAATTTCTGATGGTGGTTATCCATTTTCATCTTATAACGTTAAATTTATTTGCAATATTTCCCATTATGTAAACAATGACAACTACCAAAGTCACAAGGCAATGTTTGTTTTGAGTCAATGAATTTTCCGTGTGACGTAATGTACTATGTAAAAATCATACTCGGATCTGATGATCAGATAATAACGGAATGGCCACTGGCTGTGAGGCAGCCAGTGTGCTATTGCGTTATTATTCGATCGTCAGATACGGGTTCGATTTTTAGTTGTCTACTTCGTGGATAATAACTGATTCATTCCCAGATACTTTTTTTACTTCCAAACTATCGTTTCAAATTAAAGTTGAGAATTTCATAAAGTTTAGCTTTCTACAATTATAAAACTTCTTTCATTTCTTTTAACCAACAATTTTTACTTTTCGTTAGTAACGTTAATAGTTTAAAATTTCGTATATCATTAAAAAAAGTAAAAAAAGATATATAATCAAAAACAAATACAAAAACTCCGGAACAGCTTGAATCTGAAATCTGGGAAATAAACGTGAAAAGATAGTAATAAGAACCGGGGTATAAATGTATAGTCCCATATAATTAGGGTAGCTGCGCAGAACCAGTACGATCACGTAACAAGGTTAAAACTCATGTTCATGCCCGTCTTACTGGTTTAAAAAAGCTCGTCTGTTAAATTAGCATAAATAAAAATAGATTCAAAAAATTGTTATGTTGAATGCTTCAGTTATAACACTTTTCATTATTATTGATTAGAAACATAAGGAATCTGTTTGCTATCTATCACGGTTTCTATGTTATAAATGTCAGGATATCTGCTTTAAATACGTCAATTCAAATTTGCCATTCATATTTTCTAACAATTTGCATGCTCATGACTATTAAGTAAATATGTCGTAGCTTAATATTAAATTAGCCGTTGTATCTTTGCATGGAAATGTATTCAAAAAGAAATTACGGCCAGAACGAGAATAGGATATAGTCATGATATAGCATGTTAGTGCGACTTATCCGTGGTTCTTAGCTACGATTTCTGTATAACTAATCACAAAACAAGAGGTTCTTGCACTGCTATTGTCATGAACCCTAATTACATTATGAAATATTTGCATTACTATTTTAATTGAGAAGTCTATGTACAATACATAACTAGTACAACGGCACATGATTTTACATGTGCATTACAAAGTTTTGCCAGCATTACTGGACTTTATGGCCAACATTATTCATGTAACAAAAATTACATGTCAAAAAATTACACAAATAATAGTAATTATCCACCCTACATATATATAAAAAATATATACTTTATATATGATGCTTTGTTTTACAGATAATTTATCATTATAAATATCAACACCTTTAATATTATTAAATATATGTAAATTGTAATTTATGCAATTTTATGCTGTACGTATAACGATTATACCGAATTAATTACTTGACTGGGTCAGCCGAAAAAGCAATTACGTATAATAATAGCTGTAACCAAATAGGTTCTCAATCAGTCGACTTATTACTCAACCGATAGCGATAGTAAACCCAATTTGTTGGCTTATTGCTCAACTGACGGTTGACCCGGGTCAGGATTTTTTGAACAGTTCGGATCACTCCATAGGTCATATTTTATTTTGTACGTATATTGCGATTGTAACTTTATTTCCAAGGGAGGCCCTTGAAAATGGTAATTACTGTTAACAATTTCATCATAATGATATAATATGTATCTTTATATAATGTTTTTCATATGCATTATCCTCAAAAGTCTTAGTCTAAATACACTAATACATAATAGTAATTTAAATATACAATACATACGCACAATAATGATATCACATTATTTCGTTAGGAAAATTAGAAATACCAAAATTGTACAAATGAATGAAACCATCCCTCTCGCATTTCATGTTACACATTCATGTGATCGTACTGGTAAAATGAACAAAAAAGATAAATCGATTGAATAAAATGAATTTATAAAATAAATCGAATCGAAGAAATTAATCAAGTCAAAAAAATAAATCGAAGAA